GCGTATGGGTTCGTTACTGCAGCCAACTCCATAAAGAGTACTACAAAGGGACCGTTGTGCATGTAGCTGCCACGGCACATATTGCTGGACACACTCGGGGTCGCGGGAAAACAACCGGTATCAGTAAGTCACCCAAACGAACACGGAAGTCGGATTGTCGTCGCCACCGGACCGGATTTACATACCGAGGGTCGAAAACGCTGCAGGCAAATGCTCGTCAAAAACGGTACTAATAAACTACGCCTATTCAGACACCGAGAGAACAATGGTGAAGAAATTACTTTTCGATAAACCTCGTCAGGTGCGTAAAAATATGAAGCAAATAACCAAAACTTAAAAAAGCTATTGCTAGCTATGTACGGGTAAAAGGATGTCATGGGATATGTGGAATAGTAAAACTGGGATCTTATTACGTACAGCAATCAATATTATATTCAAACAAAATGACTTGATGCACTGGTAGCTAGAGTTGATCATTCCTGAGTTCACTTGTTCGCCGAGCTTCGTAAATGGGATGCAAACGTATCATCAGCAAACGTGGTGACTTCGTCAGTGAGTTGCTGGATCAAATGTAATGCGCTGACTTGTTCGTCGATTTGTAATCAAGTAGCAAGTGACTTATGGACTAACCTCCTCGACTAGGTCAGTTCATTTGCCGCAGCAGCGCACTGAAGAAGTCAACTCGTTTGGTGATGAAACGTTTGCATCCCAATTACGAAGCTCGGCGAACAAGTGAACTCAGAAAGATTCAAACAAGTCACGATGGACCGGTGGACTTGAAGCCAGCTAACTGCGTGAGGGTCAGGGCAGAGTTAGCGCTGGCAGGAAAGCTCTCCGTGTGCATAATTTCGGCTGTAGGCATCTGATAGCAAGAGAATTTGCTATTTGATTCCGTTTGAATATCGCTTCGGAGCCAGTAGGAGAACCTTGAATGAATCCTTTACTCGGCATAGATGCCCAGTGTTGATCAGGTGCTTACAGACAGAATTATGGGCACTCGTCTGGATTCCATGCTGCAAGGAAGCAGGGCAGCGCTCTGCTATGCGTTTTGATAGACGTCGGGTTGTGTCCGATGTACCTAGCACCAAAGGTGCAGGCGAACTGATGTAGTACAAAGCACCCGGACTCAACCAGCGGTCCACCTTTCAGATATTGAGTGATGAGAGATGTTTCGGAGGAGCCGGATACGTCTTGTTTAGCACAGAGGACATTCTGCTAGTAAGTAGCTCAAAGGGAATATCCCCTTTGAAAGGAACAGAGTGAAAGACATCTTTCTTTCTGGTTGTAAGCACAGATTCGGGAACATAAAAGAATACGGAACGCTTCTTGACAAACGCAAGAGGATAACCGTTGCTCTGTAAAGTTCTATTATTGACGTTTTTTTCGCTTCTGGCGTCCCTGTGCAACAAAGGTTTGTTGCTTGATAGTACAATCAACGCACAAGATTTTTTTATGTTTCATAGAAACGCTTTTTTCAAGCTATCCATCGCTACGAGTCGTAAAAAACGTATAGAAAAGGCCAATGCATCGCCATTCTCCATCTCACAATAGGACTTCAAAGAAGGGTGCGCACGGCAGCAGGTGGATCGACCGTGCAGTCATAAACGATAAACGTGTCCATGTATTGTTGATACAAATGAAGAGACGCGATAACATGTGGGATGGGACGGCGTTCGAGTTAAGCTAAGAAAAATTAGCAAGTATCATAAGTGTACCGCGTCTGACGGGATTTATCGAAAAGAAAAAAACGGAACTGTCTAACTTCAAGGAGGGCTGTTATGAAGCTTGCATAGTGCCGCAAAACTTAATACGATTTCGCCCGTGCTCACCTCAGCTATAGCGTTACCATATGGCGACTCAAACTGCGCAGGTAAGAGGTAGATCGTTAAGTGCGTGAAGGACGAATGAGTCCAAGCGAACGGTAGTCACTGTAAATTGCATGTGCCCTATGGGATTCCTATGTGAGTTGAAATGAAATAAGTCTCTGGATCGTTCGGCGCAATCCCATGCAATGGATAGACCACCAGTTTCGTGTGGTTGTGTTGTTTAGCCCCGGCGAGTGGTCTTTACTAGGACCCTAATCTGACGAGCGACGGTTTCTGTTGTCCAGTTAGATGACTTGCAAAGGTAAACGAAGGAGCACACTGAATAGTAGGTGCCAGGGCGAGCCGCCCAAAGGCGGTTCATTAGGGGAGGCTCTCCAGGAGTGAGATTCCTCTTTGTGTAATTTCAATTCGTCTATATTCTGCTCTGAGCAGTAACTAGTGGTTCGTAACACTGTGCAAATGAGGAACGATAGTACAGATTGGGAGAATTAGGCGTTTGACATGACTGACATACAAGCCCATACACACCACCAGACCTGCAGATAAGCTAAGTAGATTAGGTGAATTAAGCGCTCAGATGATGCACTTGAAGAGCGTTTGCCCGCCACTCTTTACATTCAGCGAGAAGCAGTAAAAAAGCATATGACTGATCGAAGATACGACTGACATCCGACAATTCCAGGCTAAAGTGACTCGACAACACACGATCTGAAAACCTGTGTGTAGCAGAAACATTGAGTCCCTTCCTATTCTATGGTAGTCACACAGCCCCTTCGGTCGAAGGATTTGAGGTAGCTTCTTTGACCATTGCTGGGGTATGATGGCACCAATGAAAAAACGAATAAGTTGGCTTATTAAAACAACAAATAATGCTAAGTTGAGATGACCTAGGTCCTTACTAGGTAAACCTGGTCATTGCTTACTAAGGCTTTATTTAGTATCGTACGAGACTCGAGGTGGTTTAAAACGTTGACAGCGGAAAATGAAGTCCCTGACGACTAAACAGATTGCTACTGGTTCGTCGCGTCTTCCAGACTGGAGTCATTGTAACTTATCCTGTGCTTGACACCATACTTTAAAGGAGGACTAGCAGTCAGCACACATGGTGCGCTTGATGTGGTTTTCGAATCGGGTAAACTAAAGTTTGCCCGACGCTAAGGTATATGTGTGGTAAGGCTGATAATGAGGTGGGGCAGAGAAAGCTATAAGGGAATTATTTCGACAGCACAGCTTTAACTGAACAAGACAGCCACGTATTTGTGACCCTAGGTTGTTGATTAGTTGTAAGCACCCTGATCCCGAATGTTTGTTTATTGCTCTTGAATGTTACACTGGGTTCACCTTCTTAGTATTCATCATTCACAGTCATTCTGGCTTCGAAACTTCAGTTTAACTTGATGATGCACTGCTGTCGCTGATGACAGTGAGTGCTAAGTTGCATGTTTCATCGAACGATCAGTGCTGTCAGACAGAAGTGGCTATCCAAAGTAGACTGCGAAAACGCGAAGGCTGCGATTGTCATTCTGCCCTAGAAGAGTGGAGATCCGCATCTCATCACCAACGTGGTTTGCACTAGTACAGATAATGTAGGAAGTCCACAATAGGTCTAGTAATGCAGCATGCAAGGGCCAATAGCGTCGCAAAAAGGTCACATGGCATAAGACTCAATCTGCTTGCAGTTTCCGAAGGAGCGTAGCGCTTCAAGTTAAGAACGGTATAAACAAGATATGGGATAAAACGTTAGTACCAGATTTCCGTCAAGACAACTGTCGAAACGCATAACGCCTGAAGACGCGGGTTAACATTGCAACAGAAGCGACAAACACATCAAAATCAGAAACGACCCCAAGAAGTTAACATTTCGCATTGAATCCACCAAGCCACAACCCTAAAAGGAAGAAACACCAAATCACCAGCACCGACAAAAACAGAAGCAGCAGGATGGCGATGACCCGTTCGCATAATGGACAACCGTAACTCGATAGAAACAGCTTGTTCGCAAAAACGATTTATCTGTAGCATTACACAGTGACAAATCATCATCTACATTAGTACACCAGTAATTTGAACCGGTGCCTCGCTGCCGTACAACCATGGTGACCAACGGAACGAAGAATATCAACCGAGAGAGGTGTAAAACGTTAATGTCATAAGCAAACATTCAAGGTCAAGACGTCTACACTTTGTGTTAACAGCATACCATCACAAACAGCTGGTTATCGCGCGAAGACAAGGCCGCATCCCCGAGACAGCTTTGTTGTGGCTTCCGATGTCCCGCGTCATAATCAGCCACCACCCGCAGATAAATCAACACCAAACACAGTTTAAATAGGCAGTCCGACTAGAAGACGACAGCAGACGCGCCACTGCTGCCGACTGCGAGTTTTGTCTTGTAAAGTCTCGAGTCAATCGCCAAGCAAGTCGCATGGACTCAAGCGTGGAAGGCAAGACGGGAGCCAGTTTTGTAGTCAGTGACTTCAGTTCCCGCTGCCAATGTAACATTTGTCCACATCGAGCCTTGAGTCACCCTACATCTGGTAAACAAAACAGGACCATCCTCGTTAAGTGGTGATCAGGTATATATAGTATGTGTCCAAACCAAAACAACTTATTCTTGGATATCAGTTGGTCTAAGGAATTAGTATGAGATTCACTGTCTAGAAGAAGCTTAGGAAAATCACCGCTGCGCGCACGCTGGTGCCATTAGACAACAGCACTACTTCTCAGGCAAGGATGATCAAAGACTTGAAGGCGCTACAGATCCTCAGACCGAAGTGGACAAGTCTCCCTTCTACAGAGAAGGACGGCTCTAACTGTGGTTTTGTACACATGACTGAGGAGATTCTCCTCTTGACGCTAGAGGTGTCAAAGGTTCAGGGTTGTTCCACCTTTCGGAATACGTGGATTAAAGTTAGCATCCAAACGGCCATTGCTGAACAGCTACTTCGGGTCGATTGGTCATCAAGTAGCTGGTGGTCCTGTAACAACGCTTTGCCCTTTAAAGGTGCAAAGCGCATGCTAACTAACGGGATCACTCCAGAGTGGTCATCTAAGGTCGAGTAGTCCACTTCACTATCGTTAAACAGCGACGTAATATCGTCCGCATAATCAAGATCAATTAGTTTTCCAGTACGCACCAACTAAACAAGCATGAGTATTGAAAGCAAGTCTTACCTGCAAAAAGTTGGCATTGATACCCACGCTGATAGGCCCGTGAATAGAGAGCCAATTCGCCAGCTGAAATTCGTCTGACGGTAGTTCCAGAGAGTCATTTATGTAGGCCACCATATTTGGGCGACTGAGTTTACATGTTTTCTCTTTTTCGGCCTTGTAAGGGTAGTCGCTCTCGCTCATTAGTCCCCCCATCTGCTGTACCGCTTCGAATGCCCATTCGGGTAAGCCACCATTGCACGCCTCATCTTTGGAATCACAGTCCAGTAGTTGCTAACAGAGGGAAGAAAACAATTCCAAACATGAAGCGTCGGACGTTCCACAAAAACGCGAGCAATGTGTGTGATTAAGGCGACAGACTTACGCCCGCTTATAGAGGGCCCCCAAATAGCATCTATATTACAACAGCCCCACATAAATCGCTTGCTACATACGAAACTTGATACTAGTGTAAAAAGAAATCTGCAGAAGTTCATTTCAAGAAGAGAAAGGCGTAGGAGTGTAACGGAAAAAGTTTGAATGACCATTCTTCTATAATCGTAATAAACATAGTAAAAACCAAAGCACACTAAGCGGAAATCAAACGAAAAGAGAAAGCGTTACATAGAAATGTTTCAAGGGGTCACACATAGCGACACGTGAAAAAGTTTACCAACCCGTAGTAAGGCGGTGAATAAAGTGAGCTGAAAACTGACGAAAAATACGATTGCGAGACGGGTGTCCTAACAATGGCAACAGCCTACTTCAGATCTCCCTCAATCACAGTCTGTACATCAGCAGCACAGGTCTCTGGTTCAAGCGCTTACATAGTTACCCGGTGCTCATCGAACTACAGCCACTTCGGACTGGGGGGGCACGACTTCCCATCGCATTGCGTCACTTGTCCACATAAGGCATCAGCCGTCGCACTGTACCGAAGCTTCGCTGTCATGCGACCACCAAAAGTCGAACGAGAATTGGGCATGTCACGATGCCGCTCGCACTTATGCGGGATTCGAACCAATGACCTCGGGATTACAACGTGGGTGCTTAATCATTTCGGTCCACATAGTGGTCTAGATTGCTAGCTGGGTCACTTGAACCCATCTGGAACGTTAGCTTGAGAACTCCGTTCATCGATGAGATCGCATACGAACGGCCGTCGCTGAAATGAAGATTGATGTTTAACCCCGATGAATACTTTATGTCGTTGGCGACCCAGAAGTTTGATGCTATTTGGTGTAGGGTGCTATCGGACTACAGTTACTAACGTCCACCCCCATCTTTAGAGAGAACCAAAAGAAGTCATGTCCAAAACAGTGGTTCCAAACTACTAGGTTGCAGCATGTTGCGGTTACTCAATGATCTTCGCGATGGTCTGCACGGGATACTTAAGTAGATTTTAGTTACTAAGATCTCTATACTATTACCTCTGGGACAGTGCAATGGCCAACAACAAACCTTCCCTTGAGTTTCCCAAGACAGGTGAACTACGCCTAGACTACCCAATCTATCCATTCTGCTTTAGACTCTTGAAAGAGGTGGACATGGAAGATTCTCTTCAACTTCTGTTAGTGGGCGATTATCAAGCCTAAAGTACGCGATGATAGCAATATTTGGATTGAACCTAACAGATCCAAAATTGCCACTGAATCAGGTGAAACGCTGCGCTACATGCTGCGTTGTGCGCATCATACGTTCAAAGAACAAAGCTAGTGAGTAGAAATGCGTCGGCTTGTCGTTAGTTTTCAGTCACCAGACTTGCTTAAGTGACCTCTGGTAATCGCATGACCGAAGTTCAGTTCAGTTAGGTTAAACAACTAGGATCCGAGCGACGAAATGCGGTGGATCAAAGTAGCATGATTCAAATCGCCCGAACAAGAGTAAATAAGGACGGAAAGAAAAGGAGATTGGATGCAAATATAAAATAAAGAAAACGGAAGCATGAAAGAGAAACACAAAACTAACAGTTAGATGCAAGAAACCGGATGCAGGAACGCCAATGACTGCGCGACCGCGCCATGTCTGATACGGTCTCCAACCATTGGTGTGGACCATCTCGAGGCCCCCATCCACAAAGACGGCATGCATCAGCCTGACCAAGTCTCTTAGTCAAGTTCTTCATGCCTCTATGGCACGTCATCGACTGGACACCTCGCGTTTTCGCCCAAGGTGGTGCAGCCACGGCGCATGATGAACGCCGGAGATGGGCAACGAGCCTACGGATGATATGGTCTAGCCAACGTAAACAAATAAGCTTAAGCAACACTAGAGTAAGTCACCAGACGGCGTCTTGCAAAAACCAACTGACGTACCTCAGCACTGCTTACCTAGTGTTCCCAACAGATGTGAGCAATACGCCGCAAGCACGGGTGATCAGACGTTGTCAACCGTTTAAGGTCTTACCTGCGAATTGTCCAGGTCTCTGATCTATACAATAACTCTAAACTTATCGCAGGGTTATGCAACCTACCTTTCATTGACATGCTGATATTCCGCAATCTTCATAGACAGTTGGACCTCTGAAAAGCCACACGGACCTTGCCAATACACGAAGTAACTTCTTCAGTGATGTGACTACCACGCCTGACACAGCTACCAAGTTAAGTGAGCCGATCCACTAGTCTAGTACTGCAGTCGTACTTTGCACTTTGAAGGTGCAAAGTATATGCCGAAGCGCTACACGTCAGTATATTCAACAGTTTGTATAGCCAATGTGTCAGACACAAGGTGAGCTATGTCATCCATATACTTCAGGTTTGTTGGTCGGTCATCTGGCAGAACTTCCAATCCGGAAAAGTCTGAAAGAACAGTCAGTCATGATCAACACAATCACAAAGTTGAAAAGGAAAAAAAGATATAGGACGACCATGACTAACCCCAGATTTCATGGGGAACTCAAGAGAGTTCCCGTAAAGCCTTACACGGCTTCGGGAGTCACGGTAGAGAGACTGCATGATAAAAAAGAATTTAGCCGGCGCATCCTTCATGAATAGGCAATGCCACAACCTGACGCCGTCAACAGAGCCGATGACAGCTTTCAGGTCAAGGAAAACAAACATAGTCGGTCGTCGGTGTGTCTCTGACATAACAATGAAGAGTAAATATGCGATATAGACAACCACGACCAGGGCGGAAACCAGTCTGGCTTTCACTGATTTGGCTCTCACGAGGACTAGTTAGCCGTCGAAGAATGATATCCGTAAGGGGTTTGGACGCAACGAAAAGATAACGCCTCGATGACTTCCGCACAAAGTGTACTATCCTTTCTTTAAGATGGGCACGAAAGTTGACAGTCGCCAGTCTGAAGGCCATTCTTCAGTGTCCCAAATGGTAAATAACAGAGAAGCAAGTCAAAGCACCTCAATCTTCCAGAAAAGATGGAAGAAGGTCATTGTGCCTAGGATTTTTGTTCCGTTTCAAAACGGCGAGCTCGTGTTGAGTCTCTTTCACAGTGGGATGTGTGACATCTACTTCCCCCGTCGACTCAGGTGATTAAGCAAGCGGTAAGGTAGAAGCTGATATAGTTAACTGCTCTCCAAAATGTTACGCACAACAAGCCAGTCAACGACGCTGAGAATGGATCAATTGCCCGACTTCCTCAACTATTGTCTCACTAACCGGGGCTTTCTCGGGACCGCGTTCCGCATGAGCTGGAATAGGACCCGATGGTTCCTCATATTACTGGCTTCCTCCATCTTACGGGCCCTTTCCATCCACCAACGTACCCAGTAGTTTCAAAGACTCCTTATCAGAAACCGTTTCATGGCGTCACGGACATGAGGCAACTCAGCACCCAGTGATACCTGTTTACGTGCTTCGATCCAATTGACCAATGCCTCAGAGATCCATTCAGAGTTCGGACGTCTCAAGTTGGATGTATAACAGGCATCAAAAGAGTTCTTTATGACATACTTCAGACGATTCTAATCAGTGTCCGGTTCACCAAACTCATTCACCACTGACAATTGGTGGGTCAGTTCGTTATGACATTGTTGAACTGCAGACTGCGAGTCCAAATTACAAAAGAGAAGCTTGGCGCTTATTTGAAAATGGCAAAGTGAGCGCCAAGCGTGCGCAAACTATAGAGTTTGGTCGGAGTCCAGGTAGGTGCTCCAAACTGACCGACATTCTTAGGCTGATGTGCACCATCCGTGGCTTATAGCAATATGGTCAAGTTGGGTCCAGGACATACAGGAATTCAGTGGCTGCCATGTGATGCAACGTGAACGTTTGTGTTGGTAAGTAGTGCTACTAATAAAAAATGTGGTAGGCGCACAGTTTGAAGAGTTGATCAATATTGTCTATTCGGCGTGCATTGAGCCCGAAGCAGCCTCCCAGGTGTTGATCAGAGCCAGAAAGTTGACCCACTTGGACATGTAAGTTACCGGCAACGACTACTATGTCAGCATTTTTTAACAAGATAAACACTAGCTGTCCGTCACTTCGGGCTTTGCTTCGCACCCTCGAAGTGCAAAGCGTTCCTCCAAGATTGGTCTGGACCGCCTCCTACGCTGACCATTGGTGGGGATCAGCTAGAAGTCGTTCAAAAATTCAACTACGTGGGAAGTTGTATCAGCGCCCGTGGGATTGAGGATGAGATCACGAACCGTATAGCAAAAGCTCGGGGAGCTTTTGCTAACCTTCGCCACTTATGGCGGCGGCGCGACATCACTCTTGCCCTGAAGGGTAGAGTGTATAATGCAGCGGTACGTTCGACCTTACTGTACGGTTGTGAAACCTGGACGCTTACAGCAGCGGACCTGAAGAGGCTTGTTACGTTTGACCACCGGTGCCTTCGTAATTTAGCTCATATGTGGTGGGAACACCGCGTGAGCAACGAGCGTGTTCGGCGCCTTGTTTACGGCACAGGAAATGGAAATGAACCGCTCAGCCCCATTATTTCACGCACCAGGCTCAGATGGCTCGGCCACGTGTTACACATGCCAGCCCACCGACTCCCGCGACGTGCGTTGTTTGCGCGCTTGACGTGTGGATAAAAGAAGAGGTGTGGCCAAGCGATGACTTGGTCGAGAGGAATGAAGGCCCTCACTTCTGAGCTAACCTCGGTTGGAGCGTCTCGGCTCCCTGGTTGGGGTCCGAAAGACGATGAACACGTTTGGTTGGACACACTTGCTGATATGGCAAGGAGCCGACCTCAGTGGCGTTCGTGCTGTGAGTTTCTTTGCCCCACCCATCCCTCCTAGCCTCCAACCACGATCTCATTATTTAGCCTTATATAACTTTAAATAGTAATTTTTTTGATGCACAGTAGCCGGCTGGTAGCTTACCGG